CCCGGTCAGCGCTGTGGCCGTGTAATAGCGCGACCGGGCCCCTTTAAAAAAAAAAAAAAACAGCCACAGCAAGTACTGCTGGGAGGAAGTGGTCACTTCCTCCCGGCTCACTCTGCGCTGGAGGAGCGCGTGCGCGGCAGTGAGGGAGAGCCAGCCGACTCCCAGTCCCATCAGCCCCAGCCACCCTCCTGCAAAGACAAGGTAAGAGACAGGAGGGTGGCTGGAAAATGAGCTTTGTGTGTGTGTGTCTGTATTTCTATGTATGTCTGTATGTCTGTATGTCTCTATGTATGTCTATGTATGCATGTCTGTCTGTATGCATGCATGTATGTCGGTGTATGTATGTATGTCTGTGAATGCATGTCTGTCTGTATGTCTGTCTGTCTGTCTGTCTGTATGTCTGTCTGTCTGTCTGTATGTATGTCTGTCTGTATGTACGTATGTCTATATGTACGCATGACTGTCTGTATGTATGCATGCATGTACGTCTATGTATGTATGTCTGTATGCATGTCTGTCTATATGTATGTTTGTATGTATGCATGCATGTCTATGTATGTATGTCTGTATGCATGTTTGTCTATATATGTATGTCTGTATGTCAGTATGAATGTATGTCTGCATATCATATGGTGTGTATGGATGTCTGTGAATGCATGTGTATGTGTGTATGGATGTCTGTGAAGGCATGTATGTCTGTGTATGTATGTCTGTCTGTATATATGTCTGTGTATGTATGTCTATCTGTATGTCTGAATGCATGCATGTACGTCTGTCTGTATGTATTTATGTCTGTCTGTATGCATGCATCTATGTCTGTATGTATGTCTGTATGAATGTCTGTCTGCATGCATTTATGTGTATGTATGTATGTCTATGTATGCCTATGTATGTCTGTATGTCTGTATGCATATATGTATGTCTGTATGCATATATGTATGTCTGTATGTCATTATATATGTATATATGTATGTCTGTATGTCAGTATGAATGTATGTCTGCATATCATTATGAACGTATGTCTGTGTGTATGTGTGTATGTATGGATGTCTGTGAATGCATGTATGTCTGTCAGTATGTCTGTATATATGCATTTATGTCAGTGTGAATGTTTGTAAGTCTGTATGCTATTATGTATGTGTTTATGGATGTCAGGGTCTGTATGTATGTGTGTATGTATGTATGTATGTCAGTGTGTATGCATGTATGTATGTATGTGTCTTTATGTCCTCATGCATGTGTGTCTGTATGTATGTTAGTATGGGTCTGTCTGTCACTATGTAGGCCTGTGTGTCTGTATATGTGTGTATGTCTCAGTATGTGTGTGTCAGTATGTATGCCTGTATGTGTGTATGTCTGTTTCAGTATGTGTTTCTGTTAGTATGTATCTGTGTTCTTTTGTGTCTGTGTGTGTATTCCTGTGGGCGGTATTTGGAGGCGGACCCTGTGGGTGGTATTTGGAGGCGGGCCCCAGGGGGCCCAGACCCTGAGTGAAGTTAGGGGCCCCAAAATTTCTGGTGGCAGCCCTGACTGTTTTCTACTTTGTGTCATATTCATGCTTGTTGATGCTGTTGTGGAAAGGCAAACTTGTACTGTTAATTGCGCACAAAAAAAAAAAAGAAACACACCATTCTACAATTTTCAAACATCCAGGCCATCAGTTAGACAAGTCCTGTTTTATCCTCTTGATTGGACTCCAGTTGGCTGACATCTCACTCCAATTAGCTCTTGGATATGTCATTAGTCTAGGGGTTCACATACTTTTTCCACCTGCACTGTGAATGTTTACATGGTATGTTCAATAAAAACATGGCAACATTTCATTCTTTGTGTGTTATTAGTTTAAGCAGACTGTGATTGTCTGTTGTGACTTAGATGATGATCAGATCACATTTTATGACCAATTTGTGCAGAAATCCATATCATTCCAAAGGGCTCACATACTTTTTCTTGCAACTGTATTCAAATATCACTAAGTTCAGGCTGGGCATATGCTGGACTTTACCACCTCAATACTGTGCATGTAGAGAATAAAAAAAAAATATCGAAAATGATCTACACATTGTGTTAGCAAATCCAAGCAAATTCCTAAATTATGATGTCACCTGTGGCTTGATATGAAAATTTACTGGTATTTATGTGAAACATTAAAATAAGATTGTGAATACCGCCTTTTGCGTGATAGATCTTACGGAAAAAAACAGTTGATCTTACTTGATCTAACGAATAGCTACCAAAATCAATAAAAAAAAAATGTAATTTCACTTGAGGGGGGGCTGACCCGTAGTCACGCCCACAAAGTTAAGTAGTGAATACCGCCTCTTGTGTGATAGATCTAACGAAAAAAAACAGTTGATCAAACCTTATCTAACAAATATCTACCAAAATCAGTAACGTTTTGTCCAAATTTCACTTAAGGGGGGGGGGGCTAATTATATATGCAATATCTCAGTAATTAGACTAGATCTAACAAAAATTTTGCCTTATCAAACCTGATCTAACATAGAGCTATCATAATCAACAACATTTTCTACAAATTTTTGTTGAGGGGGGGCTGGCTACGGGTTAGCCCCCCCTGACAATGATTGTTAATATCGCATATTTTAGAGTAGATCTAACGAAAAAAATTGTTGATCAAACCTGATCTAACAAAGATCTAACAAATGGAATAATCTTTTGTTAAAATTCTCAATATGGGGGGGCTAACCTGGGGGTGGTCTGACCCAGCAAGTTATTTATTTTAGGTCCTGTATATGGCAACAAATAAGTATGCCAAATCATTTTAGCCTAAGGTATGCAGGAAAAAGACTTTGAGGACGACACGTTGCAAGTGGTCATTAAGGGGTTAAAAGTGATACAATTTTTGTTTTAAGGCTCTATAAATATTAAATGTATACCATAAAACATCTACCTAAAATTCAATAAAAACAACCTCAGTCAATGGAAATCACGTCATGGTACATACTGAGAATTCTTGAGCAAAGGCAGATTGTGTGCACCAACAAAACAATCAGAGAACCAGAACTACACCTATAGCAGTTTGGATAATCATGCATCGTAACCAATTTGACAACAGAAGACATGAACTTTTCTTATTTCTTTTCTTCAATGTACTTGATAAAACACTGGATTAAAAAATAGATTAACTCTCCGGGGGAGATCTTACCCTAGGGTTCTACTGTTTTTTACACTTTCCCCCCTTAGCAGTCACATCAGTAATACAACCAGCTCAGGAATACACCCAGTTGCAGTGGAAATTGTGCTTTAATCTTTATTTCCCCTTCTCATTTTAACTCTGATAAGTACAAATGCCAGTCTAGCTAATTTAGCAAATCACACACTGCTCAGAACTAGCTACTACCATGTCTAGCAATTACATTTGTAGGTTGTTTTTTTTTAATTTTTTTTTTACTTTCGTGGAATTGTGCTTTAAATCTTTATTGCCTTGTTATTTTAATTCCACTATGTACATATGCCGGTCAAGCTAATCTAGCATCACCTATTGCTCATGTCCAGCTATTGCCATGCCTAGCAACTACGTTAGTGTGTAAATATGCTATATCCCAATACTACGCCCTTGAGTACCCAGTGGCCCCCAAACTTTTGAGTTACTCACAGCTTAGCATGTCACATAACTATCTCCTCGTTGACAAAATTAATGTCAGCCTACACTACTTTCGATCATGCTTAATGTCTGACCATTCTCTGACATAACCTGTATTAACCTGTTAGTTACATAAAAATTTGCAATTCTCTTATATGCCACAGAATAATGCAATGTGAAATGCCTTTACTTGTTACCGTGGCAAAATATGCATGTCTGTCAAACTTATGCACACTAAAAATAAAGAATAATAAAAAAAAAAAAATAGATTAAGATACAATATATCTACTTTTCCATTTTTCGGATCTGCTTCTAGCTCTTGGTCCTCTGCTTTGTCGATGCTCTGTAAGGGTAGGAGCATGGCTGGGCCCAGGGGTGAATAATTTTTTACTTTTCTGTTTCGGTGAGCTGTAGTTTTTTCGCTGCACAAATTTTATGCATTTAAATTGTCGCAATTTACCAAAACATACAGATTATTGTTGTTATACTCCTGTTATTTTCCTTTTTTGTTGTAACATCTGCTAGTATTCATGCAAAATCTTTAAATAAAGATTGGGGAAAAAATATAGGCAAAAACATGGTGACATTTATAATGACAACGAAACCTTGTAATGCCAGTTTTTATTGGGATGTGTTCAAATACTGTGATATTGGCTACTAAAAAAAAAATATATATATATATATATATATATTTTTTTTTTTTTAAAGATCCTACGTAAATGACATGCTTACCGAGAATAGCAGAGGGTGCCTTTTAAAGATTTTTCCCCCCTTATCTGTAAAAATCTAAATATGTCACAGTGTAGGAAGATGTTCTTATTCTGTAAGAATGTAAATATTTCATAGGAAAGGAAGTTCATCCTATGCCAAGCAAATTCATATATTAGTCACCGTAAGCATTCATTATATTTTCCATTATTAAGCACATTTTATTTACGGTAAAGAGGTTCTTCTGCATAAAAAGATTTACTATATACTTAACAATACAAAAAAAATAGACAAACAAACTAACTAACAAACACGTTTTATTTACTTCCATCGTCTTTCAAGGGATGTCACGGTATTCAAGAGTAAAATGTAAAAACAAATAATTTATTATATATATGTATGCATGTATATATATGTGTGTGTGTATATTTGTGTGTGTTTAAATTTTTTTAAAGTGACATTGACAATATCTAATAACATGTAATAACAAAATAAAAAGTAAAAAAATGGGGGGCGGGGGAGAGAAAAGATAATGCAGCAATGAGATGGTTTCTACCAGGCTTTGCTACCAGAATTAAGCTGCACATGTGTAATTCTGCCAGGGTTTTAATATTTTGTAGAAAGAAGGGAGGAAATTTTATTCCGTAAAAACAGTATATTTTTACCCCATAAACTTGTACGGGTATTGAATGAAGACGATCAGATTCACTGTTACAGAAAATATTCTTGTTTTCAACCCTGTTCCAATCATATAATGTTTGTTCCATCCTCTGGAACTGAGAAAATAATGTATTAAAATTGGGATTGGGAAGGGAGGAGGAGGGGGGATAAATGAACTCAAACTATATTAAATAAATTATGAATATATAATAACTGCAGAATATAGCTAAAATGTCCCTCAACAAGATGTATTAACTCCTTCAATATCATGCTGTTTGTGAAAATACACAACCAGAATTCACATGGAAAGTAAATCATAGTTTAAATGTATTATATTGTTTCAGTATATAAAGATAGAACATTATTTAATGTAAATAAACATTTTGAAAAACTTTTAAAAATCATTTACCAAATAATGAAGTTACAGCTAAGACAAAATATATGCACTTATATGGCCCATGTATTTTCCTACAGAGCACCACAATTATGGAATAACCTCAGGGACACAGTTAAATCTTCATTCAATCTAAAATCTTTTAAGAGATATAGAATGCACCTGTCATGGTTGAATATATTTATTACCTGTTATGTATTAAATTTATATATATATATATATATATATATGTGTGTGTGTGTGTGTATGTGTATATATATATATAGTTTATATAGTTTATATATTGTATTTTTTGTAATATTGTATCCTATTGTAACAATGCAATGGTTTGTGGACCCAGGACATACTTGTAAATGAGAGAAATATCAATGTATCCATCCTGGTAAAATATTTTATAAATAAATTAAATTAATGTATTATGTATACATGGGACACATTGCAGGCAAGTTGCCTCTTTGAACACACAGACACATGTACTAATACATGCATAGACATATGCACACATTAATACACTCATGCATATACACACTGATGAATACACATATGTGCACACTCTGATACACGCACACATATGCACAAACTGATGCTGTATATATGCCTGAGAGTGTTAGTCTGGTTGTCAGTATCCTCGTGTTTGTGAATTTGTATATCTGTGTCTGGGAGCAGATCTGTGGGGGATGCGGCTTAGGCTGGGAATATGATTATTATTATTATTGCCATTTATACAGCGCCAAAAGATTCCGTAGCGCCTTACAATATTACAAGAGGTGGGATTTAGCTATAAATAGGACAATTACAAGAAAACTTACAGAACCGATAGGTTGAAGAGAACCCTGCTCAAACAAGCTTACAGTCTATAGGAGGGATTTATGTATGAGGGGAACTGCTTGGTATCTTGATGTCTTCATTGTGTTTATGGTTAGGCTCTGTTGTGTGGGTGGATGAATGTGTATAAAAATGACTGGCAGGGTAAATGTGGAAAGATGACTCTGACAGGGTGAGCGGGATGGGGTCAGTGTGCAGGCGAGGGTAAATTTGACAGCATAAGTGACTGTAAAAGCATGAGTGGGGTGATATACCTTGTCTATTATTTTCTAACTGTAACCATAAGATCTTATATTATGAATACTGAACATATGGCAATTTGACTGTTTGTAGGGGGTGACTGGAATGTGACTGTGGCAGGGTAAAGTGGGTGGTTACTGTGATAGGGTGAGTGTGGCAAGGTTACTATGTATGGGGGCAGAGAGACAGAATCATTATTATTATTATTATTATTATTATTATTATTATAGTTGAGTCTTCTGTCACCATACATCAATCATGGACAGTTCTGAATCTTGCTGAGTGTCATGGGAAATTTAGTTTCCTACCTCTGCAGTGTCTAGGTTACCAATACCTGATACACCTTCTCGCTTATTAGTTAACTTTAACCATAAACTCTTATACTATGGATGCTTAAAGAAAGATGTGGTAGAATGTTAAATTTAATAAAAATGTTCCTATCAAATCTACAAAACCCCTAATTATTATATGTCAGTTCCTACTCAGGACACATGTTCAAGACTGGATTATCACCACCTTGGACATTTTGAGACATTATTCAGCATGAAGGCAAAAAAATTACCCTGTAATGGATTTAGTGACAAGAATAAAAAATTATGTATAATTGGCAGTATATGTTTTCAATAACACTAAAAAATAAAAAATAAAATTAAGAATGACAATGATAGATATAGCATACTTTTGTCCCAAAACCCCACTCATGGCCATTCTTTTCTTTTGTAGGCCTTGGTGTAGAACACAGAAAACCAGTGTCCAATATAGGGGAACCCCCTTCTGTTTGGTGTCTTAGTGGTACATAGTAAATGGTGATACACAGTGTTTGATATACTGCATTTACTCAAAACTAATGCGCCATCGAATCTAATGCAAACCTCAATTTTTGAAACCTGGAAGCTGAAAAATGTTTTTGCTGGCAATTGTAACGCACATTACACAAGATACTACTATACAACGAAAATGTTTGTTGCCATATACCAAAGTAACATTGATGGTATTTAAATTTTCGTGTTACATGTTTAATAGATCCTATAGTGCCAGGAAAACAAACCTGTTTTCCTGGCACTATAGGTTTAATAGGTTCCCCCCTCCCTCGGGGCCCCCCTCCCCTTCAGTCACTTGAATACAGCACTGAGGTACCTCGGTGCTGGGTCAGACTTCGCCCACGCTCCTCCCCGCTGACGTCAGCCGGCGGGGGAGACCTAATGCGCATGCGTGGCAATGGCCGTGCGCGCGCGCATTAGACCTACCCATAGGAAAGCATTATTCAATTATTCAATGCTTTCCTATGAGGAAAATCTGACGCTGGAGGTCCGTGAGGACGTCCAGCGTCAGAAAACGGACCAAAATTCCATTTGGATTCAGGAAGCCCTCTAGTGCCTGTCTGTTAGACAGCCACAGAGGGCAGACTTAGAGCTGCAATGTTAACATTGCAGTTTCTCTGGAACTGCAATGTTTTACTTTGCCGCACTAAGTGCAAAAGGGTCACAGCACCTAGACTACTTTAATTAGCTGAAGTGGTCTGCGTGCCTACAGTGTCCTTTTAAGTCTATTCTTTCTTAAGCCCTCTTTCAAGAAGAAATTTGCCTGTGTGAATTCGCCAGAATGAAATTCGCCTGTGTGAATTCGCCTGTGTGATTTCTCCTATTTGAATTCAACAGTTTTAATTAGTCTGTTTGAATTCACCAGTTTTTATTCACCGGAATGAAATTTGCCCCGAATGTAATTTGCCATCGAATCTAATGCGCATTTACATTTTGGAAACTTTATTTTTCAAAAAAAGTGCGCATTAGATTTGAGTAAATACAGTATTTGTGTATATTATTATTAAGTTATTATTTATATAGCGCCAGCAAATTCTGTAGCCCTCTACAATTGGATATGATATCAGGAACAGTTATGCATAGGATTAGGTATGTGTGGAGTCTTGTTTTGTTGGTTTCCACCTCAGATGTCTTATTTCACTGATATAAAGGAATATAGAGAGATGGGCGCCATCTTAGACCGTAAATAAGTCAGCCTGAACTCAACAGAAAAACAAGCTCTTTGCTTTATCTAACAATGGGTGTGAGTAGGAGATAAGATAAGCAGTGATTCTCAAAACACTTGCTTTGGCACCTCAACAATTCGAGGTTTAGGAATTTCTCAATTTTGTTCCGATTCAGATAATGACAAAACCTGGCTCATTATGTGCATTTAAGATTCGATAAAGAACTGCACTAAGTTATAAAAAGGAAATTAGATTGACATGTGAACAAAATTCACAGTGGGCATTATAGACTTATTATATGCCCGTGACCTTCATACAAACTTTATAAAATACAGACCAGTATACCAGCTATCACAATTATTAGCATTTATTAATATGTCACCAACATGTACAGGGGCTTCATATAGAACATTGACAGAAGTATACAAATATATATATTGGGGCCAGAGTGTCTATCGTGCAAAATTACAATATAAAATGGTAATAGATAAAATAATCATCTGCTTTAAACATTTCAGATTTTTAATTTATTCCTTATATTCTAGAAAATAATTAACTGCTGCATCACTAATTCACCCATAAAACACAGAAAACACAAGCTGTAAGTAGGCATCATTATTATTGTGAATATAATTTGCTTAATTGCTCTAATAAATGTATAGGTCATGGCATAATGAGGTTTTTTTTTGTTTTTTTTTACTAAACAGCAACAACCAAATTTAGAAAATATATTTTAGCATTTCATTAAATTTGGAGGTATTTCAAACTCTGCTATTTTAGCCTAACTTTTTAAACCTGGTTTTAGGTTAAAGATAAATATTTGCTTTAATTACATATATTGTTAAAATAAAACAGGATTAGCCGGGCAATAGAATGACGTAACTATGAATCCCTCTTTATGTATTAGTGATCACATAATGTAATCTTTTGTGATTTAATATTGTGTGTGTGTGTGTGTGTGTATATATATATATATATATTTATTTATTTTTTAAATAAAAATACATTTGTGTGAAAGTAAATGAAGTTAAATGACCAAGTTTAAGGTAAGAGAACAGATAACAAAGACTGTTTGTATGCACATAAAGTTATTTTTAACAAGTGGGGTAAACTAATCTGGAAAAAGTAGAGAACTGACAATGGAATTGCAAACTCGAGATCAAAATAGTGAAGCTATGAAAAATATGGGGAAATATTTCAAATGTGCAGTTTTTGCCTTCTTTTATCATTTGTCTACAATAAATAGTTCAATGCATAACCCAATATATATGTTGGACATGTCTTTCTAATACTATTGTTAGTACATACAAGGTGTACCTTTGAATGAAGCTCTGATAGAAGCTCTCAATCCAAGTTCTTCATCTCACAAATGGCATCTTCTTCCATATACGATATCTGCAGTTTCTTTCTGTTCTGTGTATTCTGTCTTCACAACTGTGGCATCATTTTTTTCTCTTGACCTGAATATTTAGTTTTTGCTGATTATGTCCTCTCGCTCTTTATTGACTTTGTTGCTTGTTGGCTTTAGAAAAAAATATGATTTTTATGTTTAATTTCTTTCTTCTATTGAGCTCTGTCTACTAGCTTTACTCTCCTTCTCTCAGTTTGCATGTCTCTGTCTCTCTCTCTTTCTTTGACATAGCTACCTAACTTCCTGCCCTTGCATCTCTGCACAAACGTGGTACAACCACAAAAGACAAACTGCTTATGTTGACTATGCGCTAACATCCGTAGTACAGAACTACAGACTTGAATCCATGTGTCTGACCCATGAGGCTGCTAGATATGGGGGTCACACAAACCATAGGTCAACATCCAACATATTGACATTAATGACCAAAAACCAAATGGAGTGCCTTTGATTATTACACTGATTCTGCTGTGTGCATAACATGTGATAAAATAGTTGTTGTAGATCAGCATTCAAATACACAGAAATAGTGAATAAATAAAATAACAGGCCATAGGGTACTACTGATAAGGCATTTAATCAGCAGACAATGTTACAAGCCAGTGCATACACGGGAATAGCCCAAAATATTAGGGCTCCAGGACAAGATTGTCTCTTTCCCCTACCATTTACTTTCTGATAAATGTTCATTAGGTGTCACCTATAGTATTGAACAAAAAGAAGAAATATAACGTGTAGCATTTCAAAACCTACCTGCAAAAATATGGCTTTTTATAGTGTTATGTTTATTTGTCTTGACCAATTTAGTAGAATTTCCATCCATCTCTTGTTTCACGTTAATCTAGCTATATTCACTGCCTGCTGGGGAACTGAGTTACACACGCAGCTTTTAAAATACATCTTCTTCTCCCTTTTTATTTCTCACACATGCACACTTATAAAAACACAACCACTGGGACAGATATACAAATATTCTCAGCCCTACACCATTAAATATAACAACACACCTTTCCTGCCCAGATTATAGAAGGTGATGATTCAACAATTATTGAGGTTGTCCACCCGCCTCGAGACACTTTGAGCATTATAATATACCTAACTAGGTTAAAAGAAAATCCAAATTGTGCTGGCACTCAATCACATGTGGGTGCAGGTATTCGAAGTCAACCCCAATGTAACCTCATAATATATACAACAATTTGAACATGAAAACCGCACTCTATGCATTAATTATGCATGCTAAAGAAAAATTAATAACTGAGTTTGTGACAAAATTCATTTATTGATTAATAACCCAGTGTAAAAGAGTTGCTCCAATTAATAGGTGACCTTATCCTAAATTGATATATTATACACATCGAGAAAATTCATAATATATACACAATATTTACAACCACTGGCCATCTCATATAACATACACCAAGCACAAGTTCATGGTATGTACAATGATTATTTACAACTAATTTACAGTCCTGATATCTCATACGAGTGGGGATACGATATCCTAGGTGGATCCACCACCTGTTAATGTACTAATAGGCCTTAAAAAATGAGAAGAAAAAATAAAAAAACAGCTATTATTGGCAAATAATAAAAAATGAAAAATAAAAGACTTAAAAAAACAGAAAAAGCAAAAAGGAAAAATTAAGGAAAAAAGTCTGTAAAGCAGTCCAGTTATGAAGACTAGTGCACTAAAAATTGCTTTATATATGGGTGGATCTCACCATCAGTATTGATGTCTTCGCAGGGATATGCTGTAGTTGTATTGAGGGTTTTCCTAGAATGTAAAAGGCGTAACCCAATGAAACAGTGGGGAAGAGAGTCCTCTTTAGTTTTTAAGTATCTGGCCGTGAAGTTCTCATATAGAGTCAGATTGGTCAGCAGAAACAACGGTCCTGAAGACAATACTCTGAGCGGCAACAAATGGACGAGAAAAATCAGCTGTTCAGCAGCAAACGGCCTGCGTGCTCGGGACATCCACGTCCCTTCGACAACCCCTGCAGTGGACAGATGAAAGGGTTGCGTTTAAATATCCAAGTTAAGGCGGCTGTTACAGACTGCTTCTGCCTTTCTCACCACTTCCGCCTTGCTGTGGTGACGTCACTGTGCGTCACCGCGTCACATGTGTATGAACAAACTTTATTGTCCATATCATACAGGGCAATGCACAATAGAGAAATTAAAGTTTAATACGATGTCCCATTCGAGCATATGGGAAACAATATAACATTTGAACATAATTGCCACTTAAAGTACAATATACAATGCAAACTGTATCTTATAAAGATACAGCATCCTATAGCAATATATACAAGACAGAAATGATTTCAGGGAATCCATTATTTACTTAAGATTAACACATCTCTCAAATGCATTAAAGGGACAAGTAATCCTGTCTCTAACTGGTTATGTTATAAGCTGAGACCATAACTGATAGAAAACCATATATCAATATCTACATCATACAGAGGAAACATGACATGTTGCTCACCTGCAGTAGATGAACTCAGGGAGAGTCAATGGAAACCATAGGTAGAATGTGTATGAGAACCAGTCGGAAAACCAGCTGTAAAAAATAGTAAAATAAAATAAAACCAGGATGATATGTCAAAAATACCAACAGGCCAAAGACAAACCTATAGCGTATAACTTACCCGTCGTGTAATCTCCCAATCTTATCCCCGGGCATACAACATGAGAGACCCTGGAGCACTGCCAGATAGCGGACCCATAAAGGTCAAAATGTAGGCGGAAAAGAGGATTTTTTTACCTTTCCTGGTCAAATGGAGTCACTGTAAGGAGTGCAAGTTATGATACGAAGTCACTAAATGTGTATGTGTATGAGAACCAGTCGGAAAACCAGCTGTAAAAAATAGTAAAATAAAATAAAACCAGGATGATATGTCAAAAATACCAACAGGCCAAAGACAAACCTATAGCGTATAACTTACCCGTCGTGTAATCTCCCAATCTTATCCCCGGGCATACAACATGAGAGACCCTGGAGCACTGCCAGATAGCGGACCCATAAAGGTCAAAATGTAGGCGGAAAAGAGGATTTTTTGACCTTTCCTGGTCAAATGGAGTCACTGTAAGGAGTGCAAGTTATGATACGAAGTCACTAAATGCTGGTTATCAAATTATAAAAAGTGCTTTAGATCATAGTCTTCGTTCAACCCAGAGGGTGACAGAGTGTCTAGGATACTAATCCATTTAGTATCCTTTTGTAATAAAAGTTTCTGTCTGTCCCCGCCCGTCTGTAGGGGTGGAACTCTGTCTATGACCTGGAACCTTAACTGGTTCACGCTGTGACCTTGAGATTTAAAGTGTCTGGGCACTGGAGCTTCAGCAGTGCCGCGTTGTAAAGCCGCCCTAATACTCCTTTTATGCTCCCCTATTCGCTCTTTAACCGGCCGGACGGTCTCTCCCACGTATACATACCAAAAGGGACCGTTGAAGGATGCTCCTAGCACTTCCTGAGGACTCCAAGCACTGCAGCAGACACCACAACCAACGAACCTGAGAAGCATTTGAATGCTCTCAAGCATATGAATGCTGTAAGCAGCTGAACAGGAAAAGCATACAATCAGCTTATACTCCTGGCAATCAGCATACAATCCAATTCCCCCAATAACAAGACGACACTTTGTTTTGAGGTCAAGCAGAACTGACTGTACTGGCACATACAGCCTCTTTTATTCACAATCCACAAACATAGTACTGCCCACAGGGTTTTGAAATACAACCAATCAATCCGTACAATACACACAGACACTCCTACACAAAATCCTCCCCTCTGCCTGTGATATAATTACTGAACACAATGGTTAATATAATTATCACAGGCAGAGAAATACAGTATTATAAAACATATCACAGGGACCCCAAAACATGTAATAACCCCATAAAAAGTATATCCTCGATACCGGGGGATCTGGGTGAACCACATATCCAAAATTCACCCAGATCTGGCGTTCAGTAGTTTGGAAGATACAG